CGCCGTGAGCTCGGACACCCTACTAGTGACAGCCCCGGAGAAACCGAGAAACCCGAGAACTACCGGGACACGGGAACCAAGCGGAAGCGCCCTAGTTCCGGGCTGAGCCGGAAACGCTGAGCCGGAGGTGGGTGGGGCCAAGGCGGAAAAACGAAACGACGGGAAGCTAGAAGGGTCTGGTAGCGCAGGTGCGCAGTTCTCTCTTCCCGAAGGGCTGTGAGTTGCCGTTGACAAGTCAGTATTTATGTAGCCAAACAACGGTCTTTATTTCCTGTTGTTTCCTTTGTTTTGTAATCTATGGTTTTGAGTCAGATTTGTGAAATGTTTCCCAATCCAAAGCCGAAGTTCCTTCTATTTTCCTCACAATGTGAATTTTGACATTTCATTCTCTACCGGGACTAAAGGGCTTCACACATTTTGCATAGTTTTGTGCAGGACCACCATTATTATCTGTCTGGTTCCTGTATCTATCTAGAAGTCTACTTCTGAGCTCTCCATCTTTCCCATTTGAGTATCAGTGTGTTCCCATAATACAACCATATAATTGCTTTGGTTGTGTACAATGTCTTTTTTAAAATCTGAATAAAAATACTCATTTTTATACGTAGTCACAATGTGACCCAGCTATACCACTTCTGAGTCCAAGTCAACAAACACTGTAGAGGGAAAGGGCCAGCCAAAGAAACACACCCTGAGCAGAGCCAAAAGAAACACACTTTGGCCATGTAACCAGAACCAAAGAAATGCACCCTGTCCCTGAAACCAGTACCAAAGAAACACACTTTGGCCCTAGAATCAGAGCCAGTGAAAGAAATACACCCTGGCCCTAAAATTAGAGCCAAAAGGCTAAAAAGAACAGTGAAAAACACACTTTGGCCCTAAAATCAGAGCCAAATCTGGCCCTGAATCTGAGCAGAAAAACAACCAATCCTTGAGTCAAGATCTAGCCATTCTGAACTCAGGGGTTGAAATCTAACGAATCCCTATCCTGGAAATCTGTGTGGAAAAACTCTGCCCCTAAGAAGCCCTATATAGTCACCATGAAAGGACTGGGAAGAAAGGACACACCAGGCAATCTCTGCCTGTCAGAGATGGTTCTGCAGATGAAAATGCTACTTCAGGCTGTTGTGCCCAAGTCACAAAGATCCCCAGAGACCACCAGGAAGACAGACCCACCAAACTGCAAAAGCAAGGTTTTAATTGTTCACCCAACCATGACAGGGACCCGGTCTGGCTAGCTGTCACAGCAGCCTCCAGAGGGAGTGAAGTTTCCTGTCTACTGCTAGGTTTTAAAGACAAAAGTTACAGGATTACATCAGTAGACTTTGCAGTAACTATCCACTGTTACCATGGCTACTGCCATTATCTCCACATGTTCTCCCTGTGTAGAGTGCCCTGTGATGTACTGGGGGCTTTGGAAAAAGAATGGAAGAGCAAATGTGGAAGTTGAAAGCTGTAAACTGGTAAACATAAGAACATTGCCTTCAAGAGATCTGTGAGCCATTCTGATAAATTATCAAACACCATGGTGGATCAGAGGTACTGATGCCCCAGGACTTGGGCCAAACCAATCAAATCTACATTGTAAAGGCAATGACCTTCAGCTTCAATTAGATGAGTCCATGCTCAAGACTATCTTATTTTCCTCCTTGGACTCCTTTCTTAACCCTCACAATTAAAACTGATTCAAAAAAGAGGAGAAAGAGGAGGAGGGGAAGAAGCCCTGTATAAACCGTGTGCCTGTTCAGCTTGTGGCTGTCTGGCTGTACAGCTATGGTGGCAGAGGGCAACCACTCTCCTAGATTCTTCCCTCCCATTAAATCTCTTGAATGAAGTTTGGGTGAGACCTTCCTTCCCCCAATGGAGTGGGCCAGGGCCAGTTGTCAGGGGGGTCAGGGGCCAGCAGCCAAGGGCCAAGAGCCAAGTGCCAGGGCCACTGAGCTGCCACAATGCTTACAAACATCACAGAGAAACCTGTTGCACTAATTACTATATCTAAACTATGGAAGCCGTCAAGGTAACTAAAAACAGTATTGGTGGTATTAAACCTGAGAATTGCAAGAGGAAAAGACCAAATCCAAAATTGTCCAATTAAAGCAAGATGTATCTTGGGGTACACCCGAGACTGGCCAGTTGGCTCCCAGAGGACCTGAGTTCAGTTCCCAACACTCATATCAGGGGCATCACAGTTGCCTGTAACTCTAGTTCCTGGGGATCCAGTGCTCTCTTCTGGCCTCTAAGTGCTCTTTACCCACCTGCCCAAACACACACACACACACACACACACACACACACACACACACATACACACACTCTAGGGTATTGGAGAGATGGTTCAGCAGTTAAGAGTTCTCGTTGCTCTTTCAGTGAACCTACGTTCAGTTCTTAGCACCTAGGGTAAGGGATCCACCACCCTCTCCTTGCCTCTGTGGGCATCTGAACACACATGGTGCACATACATACAACCAAGAAAATACTCATACACATAAAATAAGTAGACATATCTTTTAAAAATTAAAAAGAAAAATAATCACATGTTTTCAATGAAGAGAAAAAGAAAGTTTCATCAGTTAGTTGGTATGGGAGAGAAGAACTCTTTTTATCACTGTGGTATCCCTTCTGTATGATCTAGAATCTTAACAACAGTGTCTCCCCTGGACCTGTATTCTTGGAGGGAGTGTGGATGGGGAGAGGCCCTGTCTATATAGTCAAACAGGTACAGCACAGCCTACCACAGTTAGGGGAGGTCTTGGAGCATACAGCCGGAGCAGGAATATTCCATTTTCACAACTTTACATTCTCAGGGATTAGAGGGAATCTGCCATCTACTTTGACACACTCCACACTCATCAGGATAGCTCTCCTGTGGTTGCTGGCTTTCGTGGCACATGCACTTGTGGAAATTCCTCCTCTGGCAAAGTTACAAACAATCTTCCATGTACTCCTTCTGACAAAAGCCTTTCTCTGCAGAGAGAGGCACAAGGGCTCCCACTGCTTCAACTGGTGTGATCGCTTGTGGTCCTGTGAGCATGTTCAGATCCCCCCGGCTCCCGAGTTTCCCAGACAGGACCTCTACCACATGGCAACAGCCGTGAGCGCTGGAGAAGTGAACAGCTCCCTCTTGATTGACTCAGTCTGTGCTGGTAGCTGAGAAAATATGGTCAGCCTGCTGTTCTGAAAGACTGCAAGACTCTGCATCCTATCCTTGATGATGGATGTTGACAAATACTCTTCCTACGCCTCCCCTTCCCCCTCCCCCTCGGTTGTTCATTTGTTTTGAGACAGGGCTTGTCTATGTAGCATCTCAATTCCTGGAACTCGATTCCTAAACCAGGCTCGAACTCACAGAGATGCATCTGCCTGCCTCTGCCTCCTGAGTACTTGGATTAAAAGCATGTACCACCACTACCCAGCCTTTCAAATCTCTTTAATGGCATCCGGAAATAGCTTTCCATGGTATATTATATTATATTATATTATATTATATTATATTATATTATATTTGTTAACTTGTCCTGTGCCACTTAAGCTTGTCCAAAGTAGACTGTAGGATGGAAAAGGCCCTTCCTTGTAGTAAACTCAAGAATGTTTATGTCAAGGGTGCTGTGAGCATGTGTGCACATGCATACAAGTAGACCACATGCATACACATACAATCACTTTTAATTTAAAAATCAAATTTTCAAATGAGAAAAGTAGGCAGCTGTGGTGGTGTTTGCCTATAATCTCAGTCCTGGGAGGCTGAGGCAGGAGGATGGAGAGTTTGAGGCCTGGGCTACATAGTAAGACTGCCTCAAAAAATTTGGAAGATAACCTATTCCTGTGGTTTCGTTATAGTATACTTTTCATAGTTAACATTTGTTTCTGGTGCTGCTCCAGGGTCTCATTTTTATCATCAACATAGCTGCTCTATTTTCTCCCTTTCTAACCTCTCTCTTTCTCTCCATTTTCTCTTTTTTACTATAATTTTTGAAAGTTTAACTGTCTTTCTGTAGACCATCTGTTGATATGTATCATCTCTTTTCCCCAGTCAGGATTCTCCAAAGTAATAGAACCAATGAAAAGAAAGAAAATAAGGGAAAGGGAGAATGAGGAGAAGAGAGGGGAAGAGAGAGAAGTGTAAATGAAATTGACTATAGTAATGGCCCCTTGTCTTTATGGAGGGCAAGAAGTCTGGACATGTGCTGTGGGCGAGCTGGAGATGCAGGAATCCAACTGTGTACTCAAGGGTTCTGAGCCCGGAGCTTGGATAGAAGATCCAACTAGAGACTGAAGGCTTTAGACTCAAAGTGGTTCTCAACCTTCCTAACTGTGACCCTTTAATACAGTTCTTCACGCTGTGGTGACCCCCCCCCAACCATAAAATTATTTCATTGCTGCTTCATGACTAAGTTTGCTACTGTTACAAACCATAATGTAAATATCTGATGTGCAGAATATCTGAGATGTAGTCCCCCCAAAGGGGTCACAACCCACAGGTTGAGAACCACTGCCTTAGAATCAATAGTGTGGAGTCAAGAGACCAGTGCTCCAACTGCAGCAGGCAGGCCAAGTGAGAGTCCAGCCTTTCCCTGTCCAGGCCCTTGGTGGGTTGGCTGATGCTGTCTGGGCCTAAAGGCATTGCTTCACTCAGATAACTAAATCAGATGCTGACCACTTCTGGAAGCAACCTCATACACACTCCAAAACTCACATTTCAGTAGATGCCCGGGAATCCCATAGCCCAGTGAAGCTGGCAGGTGCAATTGACTGTTACACTTTAGAGGTCTTCTGAATGGCTCCAATTTAGTTTTGTCCTGCATCCAT